ATATAGAATGACCTAAAAAAACATGAGAATGTAGCTCAACTGGTAGAACTATCGTACTTGCTTCATAATTACTGAATTATAAAGTTTAGTATGAGTAGATGGAAGTTCAAATTCTTGCATTCTCACTTAAAAGGAATTTAAATTTTCATTCTAGATCTTTTCTTAACATAGAAAACATAATAAAGAAATATATCAATTTAAGGTATCATTCAAACATTTTTTTTTCAAAAAAAAGGAATAAAAAACATAATAAAAGAAAATACCAACTCTTGCACAACATTCTCATTGTTTCTTAATGAAAAGAAGACAAACGAAACAAGGAAAGAACAAGTAAAAGACTAAAATAAATCATCATTATCGCTGAAATTATCATCATTGCCGCAACCGACATTAATGTCATCACCACAATCATCATCATCACCCACGGTGTCATCCAACTCAAAAAAAAAAAAAAAAAAAATGGGGTTAAAATAACTGTTTTCGTATCGAGTTGGGCTGAATTTTTTTTTTTGGTTAAAAGAACTATTTTTTCAGCATAAGTTTAGGGAAAAAGAACCGAAGTAGTAGAGAAGGGGGAAAAAAAAAAAGTACAGAGTCAATCACATAAGAGGGAAGCAGAAAAAATGAAGAAGAGGAGGAAGAAGCAAAAAAAAAAAAAATGAAGAAGAAAAAGTAAAGAACATTAAAAAAAACAAAAACAAAAACAAAAACAAGACAAAACAAAAAAGAACACAGAACACAGTCGAACAGAGATAAGAGGAGGACGAAAAACGAAGTCGGAAGATGAAAAAATGCAGATTCGAATTCGAATAGAGAGAAGAAGAAGAGGACCTCCGTCCAGTTCCAGCAAATCTGAATTTTGGGGTCCAATCTCTAGTTCCCCAATTTGTCTTGCCCTAATGAATGTGCTCTTAAGGTTGGAGAGAGTACGGGTGTGTTTGGTATGTTTTTTATAACAAATTTTAAAGGAAATTTCGAGAGCTTAGAAAATTTTTAAGTAGTTTTGAAAAAAAAAATTCAAAAAATTTGAACTAAATAAAATTTTAAAAATTTTTCTTAAAATTTGTATCTTAAGATACAAACCAAAATCTTCCTTGTTTGGAAAGACACATTTTAGTAATTTTTTAATTTGTTTTTAAAATATGAGGTTAAAAATATTAGTATGTTTGAGATATTTTTTGATTTTTTATGAAAAGATGTGTATAAAGTAAAAAATTTTTTTTTGATTTTTTGATATAAGATGTTGGTTTTTTGATTTTTTTTAATAATTTTTTTGAGTTTTAAACTAAAAAATTGAGTTGCCCAACGACGCCTCATAAGAGATATTTTGACTTTAAAACTAACAAAATACCTTATTAAACAAAATCAGTTGTAGTCGCGATCCCGTAAATATCTTGTGTGATCTCGTAACGATCATGTGCCAATCCTACTGTAAATGCAATTCAAAATGCAAGTTGGATCGATTTGCATATATTGGATCGTACGATTGAATCACAATCTTAACAACTTTGAAGAGTGTTTTTGTTTTGAGGAATTATTTCATGAGATTGGATTAATAGTCCATCCAGACTAATAATCTATTGTTTGGTTCAATTTTTTTTGGTTCTAGATTACTATTTCCTTTGGACTATTAATCCCTCATATAAGGGATTATTGTATCCTAAGAGGGAGGGGTGAGATTATTTTTATAGGATTGCTATCCTATGGGACTAATGTGTGAAATATCCATTTTACTCTCATGTTATTACTTAATAAACAATTAAAAAAGGGTAAAATAGTTTTTTAAACATTTATAAATTATTTTTTTAGTATTGTTAATTTAAAATTATATATTAAATAAAATTATTTTTTTGGTGTTGTTAATTTGAAATTATATATCAAATAAAAAATATAAATTATAAATTTAATTTAATTAAAAATAATAAATTAAAAATTATGGCCTTATAAATTAAATTTTTTTAGTGTTGTTAAAAAATTAAATTTATATATTAAATAGAATTATTTTTTTAGTGTTGTTAATTTAAAATTATATATTAAATAAAAAATATAAATTATAAATTTAATTTAATTGAAAATAATAAATTACAAATTATAAATTATGGATTACAAATTTAAAATTATATATTATATAAAAATTATAAATTACAAGGGTAAAATAGTTTTTTGAATATTTATCGTTATCCAATCCGTCCAACCAAATATTGGATTCATTAAATATAGTCCAATCTAAACATCTAATTCCCTGACTAAACAAACATATGATACAAATCTAATCCAACCAAATAGTTCAGGGACAATGTATCCCAAGATTAACAGTCTGATGGATTACAATCTCCCCTTATCCAGTCCGTACTAGCTGATTGAATGGTGAAATATTCATGGCGTAGTTGAGTGATTGGTAGCCTAATTGATAGTACATGTTTGTTTAGGGGCCATAAATAATCAAACAATTTTACATTTGACTAAGAAAATTGGGGTTGTATAAGGGACTATTGAATAGGGATGGCAATTTGAACCCGGCTCAATAGGGACCTGACTCCCCGTCCTCGATAAGAGTGGTTTTTTTTCAAAAAATACCCCCGATGGGCCGGGGATGGTATTTGAAATTGAATCCCCGATCAGATTCGGGTAGGGGACAGGGATCACTTTCACAACCCCATCCCCGGCCTCGTTTCTCCCCGAAATAAAATTACCATAATACCTCTCTATCTATTTATATATATAACCCCCCATCCCTCTATTATACCTCTGATCTGTCTCTCTCCTACACTCTCTTTCTTTTCTCTTCTCTCACTCTCTCTCTTCTCTCCACAGTCGCAATCGGCTCCTCCTCTCGTTGCCTCCTCCTTCTCTAGGCCACCACCGCCTCCTCCTCCTCCAGGCCACCACCACCTCCTCCTCCTTCAGGCTACCACCACCTCCTTCTCCTTCAGGCCATTGTCGCCTCCTCCTTTGTCGCTTCTTCCTCCTCCTCCGTCGCCTCTCTCAGCCTCCTCCCGTCGCCTCTTGCGGCCTTCTCCTTCATCGGCTCCTCCTCCACCAGGCCACCGTCAGATCTGAGAAGATCCCAATTAGAATGGATAGATCTGAGAAGATCCCTCCCGCTAGATCTGTCTCTATTTTTTTTTTTTTGATGATGTTGCCGTTGATGATGTTTTTGTTGATGAAAACGATGTTGTCGATGATCGATGATGTTGTTGTTGATGATTGATGATGTTGTTGATGATGATAAGCTAAACATAGAGAGAGAGAGAGAGAGATACAGGGATTTTCCAAGGTTGGGAAAACCCGATCCCCGTTGGGGGGTGGGGCCGGGGGGGTGATGGGTTTCCCGCCGGGGATCGGGGCCGAGGACGGAAAATTTTGTAGCTTCGGGGATCGGAGACGAGGAGTATGATCTCCGGCCCGTTGCCATTCCTACTATTGAATAACAATAGTTCATTTGTTCAATTTCACTTTCTCAACTAGTGCAAATCCATGTTGAAAGCTTTCAACATAAGCCAAACACAAAAGATGTTTAACAATTAATTGAAAACTGCTATGGCTCCAACAATTGTGCACGGAAGATTTATTTACCATTTTGCTTGTTCCCATCAGTTATACATGTGTTCCACACTCTACTTTCGGTTAGGGTATGGAGCCACTGTTGCGATATAGTCTAGCATGCAAAATGAATGGTTTTGGTCCGGTTGCATGTTAGTGCTTCTATGCTTCTAGTGCAACTGAGTACTTGGCATCAGTGGATGTCTTTTTGTGTTCTGTTTATGTATCAATTTTAATTACTCACAAGTGCACAAATTCATTAGAGTATAGACGAGGCAAAAATAAGGTCGAACCAACAGAGATTTGATGGTTAAAAATAATCAATTAATCTTAAAATAAACGACTTAATCTAATTGAACAATTTCTTGAATTTTAATAGAATGAACAATAATAAAATTACAAATATTGAAAAGGATGTAATCAAATAATTGAAATACTAGGGCAATTGAATCCGTCACATACATTATATTTATAATGTTCATATTAATTAATTCGTCACATACATTATGTTTATAATATTTATATTAATTAATTCTTCAATTTTTCTTCACAATAAATTGGTAAGCAAACTCTTTTATTGCGGATAATATAATCATGAAAGTACTTTTTATTTATTTTTTTAAAATATATTTTTCTTTTGCCAAACAAAAGTTTAAAATCAAAATATTCATTGAATCTATTAAAACACAATTTATATCATCTTTTAGCAAATCATAAACTAAATCTAACAAAACAAAATGAAAATCTAACCTTAATTATTTTCAGTTAAAAATAGACCAGTGAATAAGAAAAATATTTATTCAATTAAAGCATATATTTATTGAAGGAATTAAGTTATATAAACAAATATAAATAATCAAATATGTAATTTCATCGTACCCTAGCAACAAATCTAGCCTAACTAAGAAAATTAAAAGCAATAATTGAAAGATACTTACTTGAATTCATTGCATTAAATAATAAATATTCTTCTCCACCTTTAATAATAGGAATACTCCCCAAAAAAAAATAAATAGAAAAATAACTAAGCATAAAATAAAACTCTAATTATTCAACCTATCTATTTATAAGAAAAATAAAAGACAAACCTAAAAGGTGTAGCGTGCAAGGGTTGAAAGTTGCATATCATATGCAAGTTAGCCTCCGTTTGGGAAGTGCGTTGATTTTTTAATTTTTTAATTCTTTTGACTATTTTAGTTTGGGTTAAAAAGTTTAATTTGGGAAGAGTTTTTTTAACCTTTTAGCTTTTTTAATTTTTTTTTGTGAGAGAAAAATATAATGATTATGGGTTGGATGTAATGTTTTGTTTGTTATGACTAAAATAGTTTATTTTATCTTTTGTGATTAAAATAATCCAAAACTTGGTCCGGTTGGGGCCTTAGTTTCAGCCATTGGATTTGATTGAATTAATCTAAATCGTTCAATATTTTACACAATTTTTACAATTTATCTGCTAAACCGGTTGAAACTTTTCCCAGTCATTCTCTCTCTGTCAGATTTCTCTGTCCTTTGTCTTGGTCTTTTATCATCTCTCACTCTCGTCTCTTGCTTTCGAAGGCTTCTTCAAGATCTCTGTATTCTCCAGTAGCTTATTGGTTCGAAAGAGTTCTAATTGAAGAAGAGGTATGGCTTGAAATCCCTAAAGCCCTATTTCGCGATAAATATGCAATTTGGGTGAAATTATTTGGTAGAATTTGATACATTATATCTAATAATGGATTCTTCGCCTAGTGTCTTACTTCTTCTTGTTTTTAATTTTTGTTTTCTATATTTTATCTTGTCTCTTGTCAATTTACAGTTTGAGTGTAATATTTGATTCATGTCTTTCAATTGAAAAATTAGGGATTGAAAAGTTAGGTTTGGGGTTGGGATTATTTCTGTATCCATTGTAGTTAACTTATTAAATTTTTAATTGATTAAATTGTCATTTTGATTTTTATTCAGCTGGTAAATAAAACAACGGCCAATTTGTATACAGTAACCTTTGGCATAGTGGACAAGGTGGTTGCCCCAAGTTTATTAGGCCAAGGTGTAAATAGGAGAAATTATTCAATGGTAGTGGAGCAATGGTAAATAGGCAATTCAATTTAAATTTTTATGATTTTTATTAGACCAGATGAAAGCTAAAATTGAATTCATAAATAAAATATCTAGCACAACTTGATTATAAGATATATTGGGTGAAATTATTTGGTAGAGTTTGATACATTATATCTTCACCATACTATCAATGACTTTTTGCTCATCTGTTTACACATTAATTTTATGTGTGCCTTTTTTGTTGGTTCTTTTTTTTTTTTTAAAGTCAAATATCTTGTTTCATTAGCAATTCTATTTACATTCTTGGAATTTATCTTGATCATATTTATGATGTTTGTATAAAACTAATGAAGAACAAAATCAAAACGAATGGGGAGTTTGCCTTGGACAGAGTCTAAGAAACTCTAATAAACATGAATTCAGAAGAGTTGGGTTTTGCAACAAAAAGGCTCTTTAAATGTTTGGTATATCTTTCCTGGTGATCATATAGAAAAGGAGAGTCATATATATACTGCTCCCATAGTTTATCTCTTTAACTGACTCAACGTTATTATATAACGTTCACCGCTTTTCCCTCAAGTCTCTGCAATCAAATAGGCAACAAACTCCAAGTAGTAGTTATCCATTTAGATTAGGTTTTCCACTACTTGATGGGTCCCTCCAGTCAAGTAATACCCATACTGACTAGAAAAGATCCAACCCAAATATGGTATGATTAATATTATATTTGACCAATGAATTGGGGTTTATTAAATTTGACCACCAACTGCGGTTATGTTAGGCGTTGAGGGATTTTAGCCACATATCCCAACATCTCCCACTTGGCTATAAGCCCGAGATGTTTACTCATAAGTTAGACCCATAGCAGCAATATGTTGCTTAAAATCTTCAGTTCCAAGTGGCTTTGTCAGTGGATTTGCAACCATATCTTTTGTACAAACATAATCAATAATAACATGTTCTTTTTGAATCACATAATTTATATAGTGATACTGTAGCTCAATGTGCTTACCTTTTGGCCTGATTTTCCCATTTTTAATAGCTTTTATCGTAACCTCATTATCACAAAAAATGTGAATAGGTCTATCATTTATGTAGGCAATCTTTAAATCATTTAAAAACCATTTTATCCACACGACCTCAGAAACAACTGTACTGCAAGCAACATATTCGGCTTCCATAGTACTTTTAGCTATGCAGCCTTGCTTTTTACTAGACCATGAAATAGCACCACCACCACCAAAAATGAAAACATAACTAGTGGTTGATTTTCTATCATCAATGTCGCCAGCAAAATCTGCATCACAATAGCCATTAACATCTATAATATCAGCTTGATACATTAAAGAAAGATCTGATGTGCCTCGAACCTATGTTACCTGAAACGTGGATCGTTTTGGTACGTGCAACGGGAATGGGAACGTGGTACACCACATGCTCTAAAATGTGGTACGATAGAGGTAGGCTTGTATGTATTACACTTAAGAATTTAAGGTACTTCTAGAGTAATTTTCTTTTAACTATTAGACATCCAATAATATATATATATATATATATATTTCATTTTTGAAGTTTTTTTCTTGTTAAAACTTAAGTCACTTTAGATTTTAATTCATTATATTTGTTTTTTTTTCCTCCTAAGATAACATTTAAGGATATATATTAGAAGAAAAAAAAAACTTTAGGGATTGCTTCGGATCATTACATTTACCGTTTTGGAACGAAAGTATGCCATGTTTCGGAACGTGTGTACCAATACGCAATTCGCTAGGGTATTAGCGTTTTTTGGTAACTTAGCCTCGAACATATCTAAGTGCACGTTTCACAGCCAACCAATGTGGTAAACCTGGATTACTTTGAAATCTACTAATTAAACCAACCACATAGCTAAGATCCTGTCTAGTGCACAACATGGCATACATAAGACTACCAACAACTTCAGCAAATGGTTTAGATTTCATTTCGTCAAAGTCTTTTTCAGTTTTTGGAGCCATTTTCTTAGACAATTTTGCTCCCTTATAAATGGGTGATTCCATGGGTTTACAAGATTTTATACTTTCTAAAAATATTTTCCAAGTAAGGTTGTTGAGACAAACTCAATTTTCTTTGCTCTCTATCTCTAGAAATCCTAATTCCAAGTACACAATGAGCTTCTCCCATATCTTTCATTTCAAATTTAGTATTTAACCATTCTTTTAATTCCAAAATTTTACTTAAATCATTTCCAGCAAGTAAAATATCATCTACATACAAAGAGAGAATAATATAATAACTCCCACTAATCCAAGTATATACACAATGGTCATAGTTATTTGGAAGAAAACCATATGTTATAATTGCATTATGGAAAGTATGGTACCATTGTCTTAAGGACTGTTTTAATCCATATAAAATTTTATTTAATTTATACACTGTCTTCTTTATTTTCAATTTCATATCCATGAGGTTGGTGCATATAATTTCTTTCTTTGAGCTCACCATTAAGAAATGCGGTCTTTACATCCATTTGGTGAAGTTCTAATTCTAAATATGCTACCAAGGACATTAATATTCTCATTGATGTAAATTTAGCAACCAGAGAGTATGTCCCTTCATAATCTATTCCCTCTTTTTGTGTGTATCCTTTAGCCACTAGTCTATCTTTATATTTATCTATGGTTCCATCCAATTTAAATTTCTTTTTAAGAATCCATTTACATCCAATGGCTTTTCTATCTTGCTGTAAATCTACTAGTTCCCAAACTTTATTTTTCTCTATAGATTCTATTTCTTCTTTAATTGCTTCTTTCCATTTTAAAGAATCTATTGAGTTCATAGCATCATTAAAATCAACAGGATCATTAGGATTTTCTTCACTATTGAAGACATAATAATCTTTTAAATAGCTTGGTGGATTTCTTTCTCTTTGTATTCTAGTTAAGGTATCTTTGGGAGGAGGTTCTTTTATTACTTGTTCAATTGGTTGTATTCTTCACTTTCTTTGGTAATTTCAAACAATTCCACCATTTTCTCAATTTTATCCAAATCATCTTGAAAGAAAAAGCATCTCCACTTTCAATTACACCCACTGAACCATCATTATGGTGAACAAGAAATCTATATATAACCTATGGAATTTTCACAATATCCAATGAAAGTGCATTTTATTGATTTTACATCTAACTTTTCTCTGTTAGGTCCTAGAATTTTTACATGGGCAGAGCTACCCCAAACTTTTAAGTGAGAAAGACTAGGTTTAGTACCATTCCAAAGTTCATATGGTGTCAACCCTACTGTTCTTGAAGGTACCCTATCAAGTACGTAAATAGCAGTGGCAAGTGCTTCACCCCAGAAAGTGGAACTTAAGTTTGCATTGCTAAGCATAGACCTCACCATGTCAATTAGTGTTCTATTTCTCCTTTCAGCTACACCGTTTTGTTGAGGTGTGTAGGAAATAGTCAATTGATGTATTATTCCATTTTCTTTACAAAAAGTTTCAAAAATATCAGACATGTTTTCACCACCCCGGTCAATTCTTACTAATTTTATTTTTCTTCCTAATTGGTTTTCTACCTCTACCTTGAATTCTATAAATTTTTGTAGTGCATCTAACCTATTTTTTTATTAAATAAATGTAACCATATCTAGAATAATCATCCGTAAAAGTTATAAAATATTCCATGCCACGATAAGTTTTAACATTTAGAGGACCACATATATCCAAATGTATTAGTTCTAACAAATCTTTTGCCCTTTCTAATTTTACAAATTGTTTTCTTGTCATTTTACCACTTAAACATAATTCACATGATTTCAAGTAAAAATCTAAGCCTGCATTTGGTTGTGTTTTGTAAATGTGATTTGAGAGTATGAGTTGTATTTTGAATTTGTGTGTTGTAGAATTATGATTTGAGTGTAGAAAATTTGTTTGGTAAAGAGTTTTGAAAATAGTTTTGGAAAAGAGGTTTGATTTGAGTGGAGAATTATTGATGTGACATTTGATATGTGATACAAAAATTTACAATTCATAACTAAACATACAACTCAAAATTATTTTAAAACACATAAAAAATTTAAAAATTTTCAGAAAATATTTTTCCCGATTATGTAAATCAATTGAAAAATAAAAAAAAATAATAATAATAATATCTGGAGTTCAGAGGACATCCGGGTGGACGTCCCCAAGGACATCCGGGTGGTCTTCCGGGTGGACTTCCTTAGGCAAAATTTTGACAAAAAACGTTGCCTGTGCATCAGAGTTCTCTGCAGAGAGTGTAGAAAATTGATTTCAAAATCATAACCAAACATCATATTCAAACACACATGTAGAAAATTGATTACAAATCAAAACCAAACAGAGCCTAAATTTGGAATTACACCATTGTTTGCCATTTTCTTCATTTTATTATAATTTATGTGTCCTAGTCTCATGTGCCATAAAATAGAATTGAAATTCACATCACAAGAAAAATCATAATAAGAGACATCAATATAAGCAGAAGAAGAACCATTCATTTTATTAGCAACATGCAAATGATAAAGTCCATCAATTTTTGTTCCCCATACAAGAATACGACCATGTTTCCCAATGGAAACCTTAGATGATCGAAAACGAACTTCAAAACCCTTTTCATCTAGATGTGGCACAGACGAGATTGCGCCTCATATTAGGTGCATAAAGCACATCAGTCGAGAAGGTTGTTTTGTCCAGGCAGTGGTATCCTCACTGTGCCAACTCCTAGCACATCAGAATAAGTATTATTTCCCATGTACAATTTGTGATCGCCAGCTTTCACTTCCTTCACCTCCACAAAATTATCTCTAGTCTTAGCCACATGTCGAGAAGATGCTGAATCAACCAACCAAGCAAGAGAATCACTGTCCAAAAGAAGTGAAATGTGATCAAAGAATTCAAGAATGGAGTTTTGACTCATGAGTGCAATTTGGAGAAACGTTTATTTACCATGTGTTTTATTTTCCCTTTTTGTCTCATTTATTGACGATTCTCTTTTTATTTTTGCTTTGTTCTATTTTTTCTCATTTGAATTTTTTTCCCTTGAAACTTCTTTTATTTAGTAAAAAAAGGAGTAATAGTGATGAGTGACCAAACCTTTGTTTCTTCTTCTTTTTTTTTTTTTCTTATCAAAATGTTTTTGAATTAGATACTCAAAAGAAAACAAGATAAAAGGGAAAGTAGTAGTTATATATATGTCATTATTATGTGTATAGTGAATGGAGTGAATAAAAGTTCCTGGAAGTCTATAATGAATCGCTTATTTTTTAAGAAAATGAATGAAGATTATAGTTCCAACAATAAAAAATAGGCAATTCATTTCATTGTTGAGTCTTCCACATAGTGGCCCCAAGTTCCAGTCATGCTTGCAATATGTAAGTCGATCCAATTAATGAAATATACAAATGAAAGCAAAAGGAAAAGAAGGTGTAAAGAAGATGTCTATCTGCCAACAACTATTGCTAGGCTAGCAACAACTAGCTACAGATCAATTACAGATCAATAGAGTATTAAATTATAGGTATAGTATTATAGGTATAGTATTAAGGTATAGTATTATAGGTATAGTATTAACAAAATGAATGAAGATTATAGTTCCAACAGTAAAAAATAGGCAATTCATTTCATTGTTGAGTCTTCCACATAGTGGCCCCAAGTTCCAGTCATGCTTGCAATATGTAAGTCGATCCAATTAGAAAAACTCGGAACATTTTCATTGAAAAAAAAACCTTAGAACACTTGAATGCGCCAGGTTGATTTGTGTTGAGGAATTTACATTTGACAAGAGTGATCAAAATATATCAAGCAAATGTTAGATTTTTAATCATTGTGGGCTTTGTGAAAACAGGACGAAGAGAAATGGTATACAAGAAGATCAGAGATTATGATTCGAAGAGGTTGTTGGAGCACTAGAAGAGGCTTGCCGACATCAAATTGCGCATTAAATAAGCACAAGTGCATGCCATTTCTTAGATTTGGAAATGTAATTCTGCGTGACTACCTTGTCTTCACAAATTAACTTCATAACTCCTCAATGATGAGCTTCTGGAATGGGTTGTGATTCTTGGCAATTGTTTCCTTATAACAGTTGTATTGTGTTGACAATGTTTATGATTTGTTCAAAATGAGTTTTGACTCCCTTTTCTTGTGTTTTTTTTTTTTTTTTACTGGTATTCTAAATTGCTACATGGGTTTTGATAATCTTGTTTGTGTTTGTTAATGTATTTTGTATTATCCTATATCTAGTGTCCTTCATCAATTAAGTGTGAGGTTGTGTTTTGATGTTGATTAATCTCAATGAACAAGTATAAAAATTCAATTCATTCAACATAAACTCCAATTAAGATTAAATCATTACATCCACATCCAAAGTATATAAATTTCTCCCCATCCAAAGTAGATAAATTTCTCCACATCCAAAAACTAGGAGAGGTTATACACAAATTTATTTAATGTTTTTTTAAAAAGGGAAATAAACAATAATTTCCGTAACAGTATTTACATAAAGCACAAAAAAAAATAATCCAACTTTCAAATAACCATAATGTCAACTCATGGATCTAGCCTCAGCGCTTGTGCGGCTTCTTCAAAATGCTTTTGCATCTAACTCCCAATTCGACTTGCATATATCTTGCACCAAATCTTTCTTTAACTTTCTATAGCTATGTGTCATTTTCATTGAAGCTAAAAAATAGACAACCTGACATTCCCCTTTGAAACCAAAAAAAAAGAGCAATCTTCATGAGCAAAATCTCAAACCATAAGCAACCAAGCACACCTTTCATTCAACCCCAAACATGGCCATGTATCCTATCATAATATTGATAGCCACCGGCATTGTAAAAACGCAAGATCACTTTTCTACAAGTCAGCAAAATTAGTTAATTAATCGATTGTCCAATTGATCAGATGGCTTGGCCGCCGCCACCACTAATCGATTCAACAATCAATTGGAAGGATTGTCGTTTGGATGCAATGTTTACCTAGTGAAAAGGCAAATTCATATTTTTCTTTCAGCAATTAATTATGCTATAGACATAGTTTCCAGCAGCAAGTTCTTGTCCACTCAATTACAAAGCTAGGAGATCAAATTAATCATCAAAACAGAACATGGATGCCATGAAATCTCAATTTAAATTATGAAATTCCAACAAAAATTATGAAATCTCAATCACAAATCCCAATTGAAAATATGAGACTTGTACTTTTCCACCAAGTTATATATCCAAATCCAACAAACAAAACATATGTAATTCCAAGCACCCAATTAAATAAGGGTTTTATTGATAGAGAAATATCAATGTTAATCAAATCTCAGTCTTGTTCCACAAATAAAATCCATCAAAATACACCCAAACTCAGATAACAAAGAACTAAATAAACTCACCAACAATCAACAATCAATTTTCAAAGCTATCGAAAGATGACTTCGAAAATCATATAGATCTTGCAAATATATATATATATATATATAACTCTAAGAAAATCCCTACCTCAAGTTTTGAAGAAGAAATGAGATGAAATCCCAAAATTTACGGTGTCAAAACTCGATCTCCACCGCACACAACGAAGCCATCGAGAAGTTACACAACTTTGATGAAGAACTTCGATCTAACTCCCAACGGATTTGGAGGAATCAAAGAGAAAATATGACTTCTAGAGAGAGAAGCTCTAGATCTGGAAATTTTAGAGAGTTTTAGAGAGAGAGAGAACTGAAAAAGTGATATAAAATCTTCCCTTACGGACTGATATAACATGGTCCGCTCGAGCCTGAAATACACTTTCCCGTAAGCAATTTCAAATGCATTTTGCATTTTTGCATTCGGCGAGATGACCAGGCAGCTTGACCCTCGTAAGTTGACTGGGTCAAAATCAGGATCGCTACAACCTCCTTCCCTTAAAGAATTTCGTTCTCGAAATTTCAAATCAAACTACCCAAACAAAGGGGGTTTATAGCGATCAAAACCACGCTATTTCATTTTAAAATCACAATATCAACTCTCAACCAATTTTATTTTATTTTATTTATTTATTTTTTTGTTCTTTTCCATTTCCACCATGGTTATCTCATTAACAACAACCGTCCAAATCAACCTAAACATGAAGTAAAAAAATGACAATCCGTAACTACTTCATGCTTAACATAACAACACGTGGTCAACAATTTTAACACATTTCCTTCAAACATTAGGAAATATTACAAGGAAAAACAACTTAAGCATTTTTAAACAAATCCGGATACTTAGAGCGGACTTCCACCTCCTGTTCTCACATCGCTTCTTCAACCCCATGGTGTCTCCATAACACCTTTACCAACGGTATAGTTTTGCCCCGTAGCACTTGCTCCCGGGTATCTAATAGTTGAACTGGTCGTTCTTCGTAAGAGGTATCCTCATCTACCTCCAAGTCAACCCAATCAAGCACATGAGAAGGGTCAGGTTCATACTTCCTAAGTATAACTACATGAAATACGTTGTGAACTCCCGAAAGTTGTGGCAGTAAAGCTAACCGGTATGCCACATCCCCAATTCGCTCTAAGATCTCAAAAGGCCCAATGAACCTTGGAGATAATTTGCCACTCTTACCAAATCTCATCAAACCCCGCCTTGGTGAGATTTTAGAAACACATGGTCACCAACTTCAAAAGATAAAGGTCGTCTCCTCTTATCGGCATAACTCTTTTGTTGGCTTTGGGCTGTAGTTAACCTCTTCCGAATGAGAACAACTTTCTCGGTTGTCTCTCTAACAATTTCCGAACCCAGTAACGGTGCATCACCCACTTCAGCCCAATAAATCGGTGATCTACAAGGTCGGCCATATAATGCCTCAAATGGTGCCATCCCAATACTAGCTTAGTAACTATTGTTGTAAGCAAACTCAATCAATGGTAAGTGTCTTTCCCAAGGCCCCTTAAAATCAAGGACACAAGCTTTAAGCGTGTCCTCCAAAATCTGAATGGTACGTTCCGACTGTCCATCGGTTTGAGGGTGATAAGTAGTACTAAGAGTCAACTTTGTTCCCAACGCCTCTTGAAGGCTTTTCCAATAACCGGGCAGTAAAACGAGGATCCCTATTTGACACAATAGTCACGGGGGCTCCATGAAATCGAACTATCTTTCTAATGCACAATTTTGCCAAGAGTTCAACTGAGTTGCTGGTGCACATCGGAATGGAATGTGTAGACTTAGTCAACCTATCAATAATCACCCAAACGGCGTCAGTGCCTCGTTGTGTTCTAGGAAACCCAACTACAAAATCCATGGTAACACGCTTCCATTTCCACTCGGCTATAGGTAAGGGTTGTAACAAACCCGCTAGTCTTTGATGTTCAGCCTTCACTTGTCGACAAGTAATGCACTTCGATACAAATAAAACGACATCTCATTTCATACCCCTCCACCAAAACTGACGACTAAGATCATGATACATTTTAGTGTCTCCCGGGTGTATCGCAAGGCGTAAGTAATGGAACTCTCGAAGTACTTCCTCTCTACAAGATTCTGGTACAAACAAACGGTCTAGGTAACGTACACTCAGATCCGAGTGAACGTTCAAACCATTCTCTTCCTTCCCATTGGAAACCTTAACACAAATTGATTCTACATCACAGTCTCCTCGTTGTGCCTCTATGACCTTACTAACCAAGGTAGGTTGAGCATTCAAAGTAAACAAAGTAGCACTCTCTCTAGAAGTGCAAATCAAACTTGTCAATAACATCTAGCATATCCCATTCTCAAATAGCCACACTTGCCAAACTACTCACAGATTTGTCAAACTACTCACAGATTTTTGACTCAAAGCATCGGCCACCACATTGGCTTTCCCCAGATGATAGTGTAACTCAAACTCATAATCCTCTATAAATTCCATCCGCCTTCGTTGTCGTAAATTCAAGTCTTTTTGAGAAAACAAATACTTTAGACTCTTATGATCGGAGAAGACTTCAAACTTCTCACCGTACAAGCAATGCCTCCAAATTTTCAAAACAAAAATCACGGCTGCTAATTCTAGATCATGGGTGGGGTAATTTTTCTCATGAGTTTTCAATTGTCGTGAACCGTAGGCCACAACTTTTCTCTCTTGCATCAAGACACAACCAAGTCCATCCCCGAATGCATCACAATAGACAGTGTAATTCAAACCCCTTTCTGGAATTATCAAAATTGGTGCGGTAGTCAATCTAGTCTTAAGCTCTTGGAATGAATTTTCACAAGCCTCACCCCACACAAATTTGATACCCTTTCTAGTCAACCTAGTCAAAGGTGCAGCTAGTCTAGAGAAGTCCCTTACAAAACGTTGATAATACCCCGCTAATCCCAAGAAACTCCAGATTTCAAAAACATTCTTGGGTTGTTCCTAATCCTGTACGGCATCTATCTTTTAGGAGTCCACAGTCACTCCCTCTCTAGACACTACATGCCCCAAAAAATTTACCTCTGTTAACCAAAACTCGCATTTTTCAAATTTGGCATACAATTGGTGCTCACTAAGTAAACCCAGCACTACCCGCAAGTGAGTCTCGTGTTCTTTTTCAGAGGTTAAATAAATCAAGATGTCATACACAAAAACGACCACAAAACGGTCCAATATTCCCCAAAAATTATGTTAATCAAATCCACAAAGGAAGCCGGTGCATTGGTCAACCCAAAAGGCATTACAAGGAATTCATAGTGGCCATAACGAGTACGAAAGGCCGTCTTCTGAATGTCTTTCTCCCGGACTCTCAACTGATGGTACCCCGACCTCAAATCTATTTTTGAGAAGCAACGAGACCCTCTAAGTTGGTCAAATAAATCATCTATTCTGGGTAGAAGATACTTGTTCTTAACTATAACTCTATTCAACTTGCGGTAATCAATACACAACCGCAATGACCCATCCTTCTTTTTCGCAAGAAGAGCCAGCGTTCCCCAAGGCGATATACTAGAGCGAATGAAGCCCTTGTCTAAGAGTTCTTGGAGTTAAATCTTCAACTTATGCAATTTGGAGGGTGCAAATCTGTACGATGACATGGAAATCGGTGCCGTGCCTGACACTAATTCAATGGAGAACTCGATCTCCCGGTGAGGTGGTAAACTAATAAGATTTTCTGGAAAGACATCTGGGTATTCACAAACTACCCTTGGTAACTCAACACGA